TTGAGAAAAGTTTGGAATAAAAAGTTATTCTTTTTTACTTTTTATATAATTATTTTTTATTTATCTACAATAGATTTTATCATGAACGTAAAAATAATTATTTTGTACTGACATATTATTATCCGCGATATCATTATCTGCTATAGAATTAATTTTATTTTGTTTATTTTTTTTATATAAAGATATTTTATTAAAATCTTAGGTTTATCTTTATAATTTTAATTATTATGAAATTTTTATTTAATAATAAATACAAATAATAATCACATTTGTATAAGAACATTATTGTAATCTTAATATTATTTAGTTTAATTAGTTTGCTGTTTTTTTTTATATTTAATTATTTTTAATTATTCTTGTCTTATTATTTGCATGTTACATATGTATTACATATTTATTTTCATTATTATTTTTGTTTCAGATATGTCACAACATATAGAATTGCAACATTTAGTCGAAGCTGATATGGAGAGTAACACCACAAATCATAAAAAAAAGTTTTCTATTCAGTTGCGTAAATCTTGTCCTTATATGGGTCTAGTATTAGCTACACTTTCATCACTGTTTTTTTCATTATGTAGCGTTATCGTTAAAAGCTTGGTAGAGATAAATCCTGCGGAAATGGCAATTTTTAGATTTTTGGGAGTATTATTACCAGCTATACCAATTGTAATTTATAAAGGTGAACATCCTTTCCCAAAAGGACGTAGACTAATACTTATTCTAAGGAGTTTCATCGGTACAACAGGACTTATGTTAAGTTTTTATGCATTTAGGCATATGCCATTGGCCGATGCCTCAGTTATCGTATTTTCCGTTCCCGTATTCGTAGCAATCTTCGCACGGATATTTTTGAAAGAACCTTGCGGGCTATTCAACATCGTTACTGTATGTCTGACATTGATCGGTGTGATATTGATAACACGACCGCCATTAATTTTTGGTCATGCCATAAAATCTTTGTCAGATGGTCACGTTAAACCAGAGCACGCAGATTTATGGGGTGCTATGGCAGCTTTCTCAGCTACTTTATTCGGTGCAAACGCATACGTTTTATTACGCGCATTAAAAGGTCTTCATTTTTCCGTTATAATGACAAATTTTGGCTCATTCGCCTTAATACAAACTACACTTGTATCATGGACAATCGGTACATTATGTATGCCACATTGCGGTACAGATAGACTTTTGGTCGTGGCACTGGCACTATTTAGTTTCGCAGGTCAAATCTTGTTAACCGTAGCTCTTCAGATAGAACAAGCTGGTCCAGTGGCCATAGCAAGATCCACAGATATCGTTTTCGCTTTTTTTTGGCAAGTATTATTTTTTAACGAAATACCAAATCGGTATTCCGTAGGTGGTGCTATATTAGTCACAAGCTCAGTTTTATTAACAGGATTAAGAAAATGGGCTCTCTCATTACCAGAGACATCAAATATAAAAAGGTCTCTTGGAATTTTAATAATATAAATAACGATATGTTTCTTATTCATCAGAGATAAAATAAAAAAAAATGCTAATTATAAAGTCGATAGTAAAATAGAAAATTTAGCAAGTAATTACATGTAAAAAACCTTTCCGAATGAATAGAATAAATTTAAATATCTGTTTCAAAATTGAGAAATTTATATACAGTATGATTTAGAGGAGTGTTACAATTAAGTAGGAAATTGTTCAATATATAAAAGTAAGTCAGAAATACAGAGTAAACTTTTTTCTTATAATTCTTTTTTCTTTTTTTTTTTGAGATAATTAAATATGAAATTGGAAAACTGTTTTTAGTCAAAAGAAAAAAAATCAAATATTTAAATGCGAAGTTTAAAATATGTTACCAGCAATGTATACTTATTTAATTTGTGGAATAATTTATATACAAACGATGTTTGTATTGCAATAGTTTTAATAATTTATTAATAAATGTAATAATTTAAATTGCTGAAATAGAAATTAGTATACACAATAATATTAATATATGTGTAATGAAAGCTATTAAGTCGAGAGTCGAATGGATGCATATGTTCTTAAGAAATATCAAAATTCAATTTTTTAGAAATGAAGCATTATCTGAGAAAACTTTGTTTCTATATTTTTAACTTATTTTTGTTAAATAATTTGTTCAATTTTATCATCCGTTCTGGTTCATTTTGTATAGACAATATTGTATTAAACTTCTAGTTTACTTCATTAATGGTAGATTTCTATGATTAAAGGTAAAAATCCAAATGTGAAGACTTTTGTACAATCAAAATTGTTTTTAAATGGAAAGAATTATAGGAACGAAAAGTGTTAATAGTAGCTTGAATTTGTACAATACATTCTCCTACACAATATTAAAAAAAAAAAATTTGATGTTTTAATATGTCTTGATGTGACGTTACTTTTCACAAATATTTTTTTTAGATTTAGTGATCGAAATTTGAAAAAGATGGAATTATATTGAGAATTTTAGAAAACTATTCATGGAGGAATTTATTGGAATTATAAAATTTATTTGTTCTTTATTTTAATATTAATCATGTTTATA